TGTGTTATACTTTTTTAACTCCATGTTTCATGTTTTACTTTAAGTTTTCTAAAGAACTTTAGGACTCGATGTGTCACTTCAGGCTCTTTACTGAGATTTTATTCACTTATTCAGACCTCAGAGAATCACTGGGATAATGTGCTGATTGGTTTATGTTTTTTTTATATTTCTTCTAACCTAATATGCATTATTTGGTCAATAAAGATTTTAATAATATTCTTTGTACAAATATAATAACTACACCTGTTATTTTAATCCTTCATGCTGTTTTGCTTTTTGTAATCGGATCAACAAAGAAATTAGTGAAAGAATTATAATTTTTATCTTTAATGTGTTTTAAACCTCTCCATCACCTCAAAAACCTGTTTGTATTATTGGGATCGTTAGTTTTTCTCCACTGTTTGTTCAATGAAAACATTCATTCATTCATGAAAACAGTCAATCATTGAACATTGAACATATTCATTTGAAAATCTGATTTAGTATAGTTACTGTTTCTGTCTAAGGAAACCTGGCAGATTGCATGGTGTTATTGATCTGGAGCATCCTGGATGAGAAAACGGCATCAATCTCTTGTTTTGTGTTGTTGTGGTTTTTTGGCAGGTGGAAAAACAAAAACTAACAGTTGGAATAACGGAGCTCTGTGTCTGATAGGTGTTTGAATCATCAGACAAGAATGTCTTAGAGACTCACTGTTGTTCTCCTCCATCCATTCAAACATCCTCCGCCCACCCCAGCACACACAGTGTTAATTTTTTATTTTATTTTTTTCATCCATACTGCTTCCTGCACCCACCTGCAATGGCACGGTGCCCCTCAAGGGGGCGTGCCCCACAGTTTGGGAACCTCTGCTCTAGTGTCTCTGTGTTCAGAGTTCAACAGAAAATTAATTGGAAAAGTAAAGAAAAATATTGAATAAATTCTCAATGTTAACAAGTAGTTTTGTTGTTCATGGAAACAAATGTATTTTTCAGCTCAGCAGTAACATTTTAATGTACAACATGAGGAAACGTGTAACGCCTGTTGTGTTTCTGTTAATTGTTGGGAAAGATTAGATTACATCAGTGAGCTCTGTCTTCACAGCTACAGGATCATCTGGTGACACATTTAACCAGGAAATCATTGAAACGTGAGATTAACTAGCAGGAAACTGGTAACCAAGGCAACTTATTGATTGGCCTCCATCCAGAATCCTAACAGGCTGCAGCTCTTTGGACTGAAGGCTTATATATGTGGACAAGCTATTTTAATATGTTTTCTAGAAAACTATGAAATGTTGAAGACTGCAGATGCTACTAATTGTCAAAATGTTCACCAAACTTTTATTGGACAAATTATATTTATTATAACAACTTTATAATTAAACTTTAGCTTTAATAGCATAAAGCTACATAATTTTAAAGTGTAATCAGTAATACTGTTATAACAAATTTATGTTTTATGATTTCTTAATGCCAAGTTGTCATAATAGACATTTTGAATAATGTCAACTTTGTATTAAAAGTGTCCTGATTTACCGAATGACACTTTGTGACAACAGTCATAAATATTTATGAAGACTTACTGATGTTCATCACAGGTGTTTTGTTTATGACGATGTCATGACAGTCTGATGAACAAACCATCAAATAAAGTGTTTATCTTCAGACCAGCTGACAGAAACGTCTACGCCACTGACCTGCTGCAGCAGCTGGGATGCCAAGGATCCATCTATGAGTTTGATGGTAAACAGCCAATCAGGTTGAGTGACTTTGATCAGGACAGGAGGAATTCAAGATATCTCTAATTCATTCGGAGATATCTTAAAAGGAACTTTGACTAGTCAAAATTATAATTCAAGATATCTTTAATTTAGTTTTGTCTAGTCATTATTTCCTTTTAAGATATCTATAATTTAATTTTCACTCATCAAAACTACATATCACCTATCCAAAAGCAAATTTATGATATCTTGAATTATGAAGTAATTCGAGATATTATGAATTTACTTTATGACTAGTCATAATTTAATTGTAGATATCTGAAATGTGTATTTCAGATAGTCAGTAATTCATTTTAGATATCTCGAATTGAAGTCTCCATACAAGTCAATGGTAAATCTGACGTCATTTCGACTAGTCAGAATGTAACTAGAGATATCCTAAATTGCTAAAACGTTTAGTAATAAAACAATTTGAGATATCTGGAATGTAAGAGCGGTGAAACCGAATTGATGTTAAAACGGCTGTGTCTTCTTATCCCGAGCATGGCCGGCGAGGATGTTGCACTGCCACCTGGTGGTGAACACCAAACAGGAAATGTTTACCTTAAAGTGAGGGTAAAATATGGAGGGTTATCTCACATTTCATACCTGATTGGATGACAGGGGACATCTGCAGAGGGCTGGTGGGCAGGGTCGGCATCACAACAAGAAGTCAAATTCACTGGGAGGATCAAGCTTGTAACTGGACTGTTTTAAATGTTAACAGGAACATTTGTTAAATTTTCCACCCACCTGTTTATAGAGACTCCTCAGCTCTCTGTATTGCCACAGTGTATTCAACACCTGAGCAGCAGCCTTTACTACTTTCATTGAGTACCTGAAACACCGTAACAAAGAAGAACCTGATTTTACTTTCAGTGTTCCCCAAAAAGCCAATAATACCAAAAGAAGCAAATATTAAATCAAGAAAATATATGTTTGAAATTATGTGAGCAATGTTTTCTACAGACATTCATCATGGAAATTTTTAAACTGGATGAATTTTTATCTCTGTTTTAATTTTCGCTTTTATCAAGTCAGATAATTTGATAAACTTATTAAATAAGAGTCACTGCAGGATTTTATTCAGTCTGATCAGAAAACAAACGTCCTTTAAAGAGTTTAACACAGCAGCTATATTTTATAATTCAAAACTGTTTTCATTACATATATAAAATAAAACAATGAATTAAAATATGCCAGAATAATATATGAGTCAGAAAACGGTGGATATGATTCAGGAAGACTGTTAGTTTTTTCTCTAAGCTCCACTTTCGCCTGGAACGTTAGCTGGAGATGGGCACCAGCAACCATCCTGACCACTAGGGACAAGGGTGTAAGATGGATGGATGATGCAGTATTATCAGGACTGTAGTTCCCTCTATGACCACTAGAGGGCGGAAATATCCCGCTCTGGATATAGAGGTGAGTTTCTAGAGCTCCAGCTGGTTTCTGACTTCTGTTATGTGGACCCAAATTTGGGTTCTCATGTGTGGAAGAGGCTAAGTTGATCAAGTTTATATGTTTCTCATTATAAATCTTAATATTATTATGGTCCAGGCACACTGTGCTACATGTTTTAGAGGTTTTCCTGTTTTAATGTGCCTGATTCAATTGATTTCAGTTCAACAATCGCATGTTAATCAGTTATCAAATGAAATCAGCTGGACTGAAGCAAGGAAATACCTAAGACATGCAGGGCAGTGTGCCTGGAGGACCAGGGTTGGGAAACACTGGTCTAATGGACTGAAAACTGATTTAATATATAGATGTGTTAGTTACATACAGATAACAGATCAATATATCCTAAGTAAATTAAACACTTATGTTTCCTGATTAAATAAATAACTGATTTGTACACCAAAATGCTGAGCTTCATGTTTAGAGTCAGGAGAATATTTATGAAATATTTTTTTTTCTGTAAAACAGAATAATTATGATAATTTGGCTTCAGAGCCCAATTATATAATTTATATCACATCCTAAGTAAATGACACACTTATGCTTTCTGATAGAAAAATAAACCAACAAACTAAAATGTAGTTACAGGAGAATTTCGTTCCTTGTGTTTTACTTTGAAAGAATCTAAAGGAAGTACTATTCCCATATCAGCTCTAGCTTTACTCTGGTTGTAGTTACACAAAAAGTCCACGAGGGGGCAGAAGGCTGCATTAACAGTTAGCTTGTTACTGGTCCAGAAGTTACTGGATGATAAAAAAAATAAGTATTTCCTCCTTTCTGGGTATTTTTTCTTCTGCCCAGATCATTTATTTATGTCTTGATAAATCTAGTGGACATGCAGAGGTGATAATAATGATCCTGTAAAGGTGATTACGGTCAAAAGATGTTTTTACACCAAGATCGAATCTTTGGAGGGAAAGAAAACTAAACAAACTGACGGCTTTAAAACTTTTACACAGTAATGTTTCATTTTTAGATGTTATACTTCATTATTATTTTTTACCCTTAATTTTTCTACTAATCTGCAGTAATGAAGACGTTTCCCCTGTTTGCTTCTCAGGTTATAAATAAATGTTCAAACTGGTGACATAAAGATGAAACTTTTTCTATTATCATGAAGTTTGTTTTCTGGAGGCTGCAGAGCCGACAGGCTGGAAAACCATCAGCTGTCAGGTTCAACCTGAACAATCTGTCCTGATCTGAACCAGAACCAGAACCAACAGAGGACAAATCATTTAGTTTAGAGAAAAACTAAATGAGCAAATTGAGGCACCAAGGAAACATTCTTGGACAGCAGAGAGAGAAAGTGATAAACATCTCACAGTAAACACCTACAGTGATTAAAACCTGTTTGTAACTCAGCAGGTTTGTAACTTTTTCATTGAAACATTTGAGACAAATCAGTTAAACAACTTAAAGCCTCCAGGCTAAAAGAGGCCAAAGCTTAAAGAGCATTATGTTCAGAATAAAAGAGGTTCAGGTGAGAATCAAAGTTTCCTTCAGATCAACATTAAACACGATTAAATAAATTAATAAAATCTGTATTTGATAAATATTAACATATCAGATGGTCGTGTCAACATGTGGAGAAACTTCAACATTTCAAGGTTCTTGGTTCTGTTGGCTCAGATTAGAACAAGCAGAAACTATTTAGCTTTATTGCTCTTGTGTTTCTGTGCAGAAATTTGTTGGTTGTTAAAGTTCTTTACAGATAAAACTGAAAATCTCCATTAATTTAATGAAATATTTATTAAAAATACAAAACATATTTAAAACTTTAAACCAAAATGTGAATTTGTTGTTTATAAACATTTATTTCCTGGTATCAATAATCAGACAGGATTCCTGTCATTTCAACAGGTGAACACACCTCTGCTGTCAGAGGGGGCGGAGCCTCATGTGGATCCGGTTCAGGATCTGGAGAATCAGGTTCATTTCTCCTGTTCGCTCCGACTCGATTTGTGTGAACAGAAGGAGAAGCAAAGATCTGATCAGGTGAGTTTTAACTCCACTTTCTACTGGTTTCCAGTCCTGACTGGGTTTTATCTCTTTGAGCTGCTGGACAGAACCAGAACCAGAACTGGACCTGGTTCTAGTTCTGGTTCAGAGCTGCAGCACCTGGTTTCAACCAGGAACTCTGATTTTCTCTGAGTTTTCAAACAGACTGAGGAGGAGAATAAAAGCTAAACTCTCCAGTCTTTCCTCATTTGGTTTGCTAAATGTTTCCCAGGCTGGACGGTGAATGTAACTCTGGTTCTGATCCATTTGGATGACATGTGTGGCTTGTAACACCTGATCATTTTCAGCATTAAAGCCTGTTTTTAATAAATAACCAAATCTCCTTATTTCTCAAGGTGATTTACACTGAGAGGTTCTGGTCGGGTTCTGGAACTGGAAAACGGACCTGGTGGAGCTCAGAGACAGAAATGAATGAAGTCCAACAGAACTATGAGGAAACTGAAGCTCCTGACCTTTGATCTACTCATAGCTCGATGGCTCAATGAGGAAACCGAAGCTCCTGACCTTTGATCTACTCAAAGCTCGATGGCTCAATGAGGAAACTGAAGCTCCTGACCTTTGATCTACTCAAAGCTCGATGGCTCAATGAGGAAACTGAAGCTCCCCGCCTTTCCTCAGAACTGATCTGGATCAGAACCTTTTCATCTGAATCAGCCAACCAGCAGTGGAGTTTCCTCCCTGTGTGTTGATGGGTATTTTTCCTTTCGAACCTTCATTAAAAGAACCACAGACAACGTATATGAATTTTATGACCAAGCTTTTGCAAAAGGAGAAGATTCAGCAAACTGCTCCTCCGAGCCGTTCACAGAGCGTTCTGAAGAGCCTTGGTTACAGCTTGTCTTTTATTATCAGGCAAAAAGAGGGAGGATAGGTAAGGAAGACAGCAGAGACTAAATACTACTGCACACAGACAGTTTCTAAGGTAGGGAGTATTCCAGTTGATAAGGAGGCACCTGTGGAAACATAATTTAAGGTCTGGGAAACACACAGTTAACTGTTTCACATGAAGACGAACAGGCAGATGTGACCTCCAGATCAGTTTATACACACATAAGGAAGAGAACACTTTAAACTGAAAATCACAATAATACTGAATGTTGATTAACTATTGATTAACATTAGACTGAATATGAACTAAAGTCATAATAAAATGATAATACCAAAAATTCTCTAACAGTGTCTCTGATGGTTCCAGTAGAAACAATGAACTGGTGTCAGAGACGATCAGCAACTGGGATCTGATGGAAGCTTTTCTGTTTGTTCTGAGAGGAAGAGGAAGATGATGATGAAGATTATGATGGTCCTCCTGCTCAGTAAGGTCACCTTCCTCTCTCTGCTCCTCTTTCTCTCCAGTCTCTCTGGAAGCTGCTGATCACCTCAGAGCTTCTTGGTTCTGGTCCGTTCTTCTCTCTAACTGACCCCTGGTGACCTCAGCTGGTTGTTGGTTCTGGTTCCAGCGACTCGTTTCTTTCCAGTCCTCCCAGTAGATCTCACTGGTTTATTGTTTTAGTTTTATTCTGGTCTCTTCCATCCAGCCAGTGGCTCCACTTTGCTGTTTCCTGTCTGGATTTAATTTTTCTGGTTTGGGTTCAGCAGCTGATCTGGTTATGATATTTTTTATCAGGTTGTAGTTCTGTCGGCATCAGAACCACTGAGACCCAAACAGACCAGTAATCTGGACATTAGCTCCCAGAAACATTAACCTCAGAAACCAGAGAGAAATGTTTGCAGATGTTGAACGTTCTGGTTTTCCTTCATTCTTCAGTTTTTCACATAAATGTTCATTTGAATCCAAGATGGCCGCCTGGGTGGTTGTAGTTTGTAGTTTATTTGACCTGAGTTCACCTCGGTCTCACAGGTTGGTGGTCATAATGTTCTGCTGCTGGTCTGACCATTAATGGAGAATCAGGTTCTGGTGGGTCCGATTCTTCTCTGGTTCACTGGTTTTATAAAAAAAAAAAAAAACTGAGTTTTTGTGTCACAAACATCAATTCTTAAGTCAATAGAAAAATTACAACATATTTAGACCAACATGTTCAACTAATCCTGGACCCGTTAACAAATATCTGGAATGTATTTATCAGTAGCTAGAATTAAACTTTTAAATTTCTGGGTTAAGACTGTTATTGTGTCTAAGCCCTTTTGAGATGACAATGAAGTTCTATTGAAATAAAACAAATATGTAGATTATACAGAAATGTCCAAATTGTTGTTTGATCAACAAAGACGCATCAGTTTCACAGCAGAAACTCCCTGAAAGTTACTGGCAGGTTTAAATTCTGTAAATATAACAAATCAGAACCAGAAGAAAAATAAAGTTAGAAGAATTTTAGTTTTCAGGAAGCCACAGAAACAAAATCTCTGCCCCAACAATCCCAAGAAACTAAAACAAAAATCTTTATCATCAAATCCATCCTTGAGATAAAACATCCTGAAAGCCGACTTCAGGATTACTGCAAATAACGACAAACAGCTATAACAACTCTAAAAAAACACATTCATGCTTTTTTAGAGTGTAATCTGTTTCAGTCCTTCAGTTTTTAAATGTTAACAGTTATTTTAATTCATTTTTATCAGTTTTATTGCTTAATGTGAGTTACATATTACATGAACAGAGATCATTGCTGCCCAAAAAAGAGTTCAGCATCACTGAGCTGTTTAGCAGACAGACTGAAATCTTTCATCACTAGTGAATAATTGATCATTATTTCTACACTAAACTCTCATCTTGTGTCCTCAGTTTCCCAGCATGCTCTGGGTGGAGTGGTGGAGGTTAACGAGGGGGCGGAGTCTGTCCTGCTGCCCTGCATTTACTCTGATATTCAACCTGAAGACCCGTTCCTCATCTGGACTCGCAGTGATCTCAGTCCTAACTCTGTCCACCTACGGAGAGAAAATGGTGACGATCTTAAAAACCAGAACCAGCGTTTCAGAAACCGGACCTCCATGAATCCTGACGCTCTGGATACTGGAAACTTCAGCCTGACTCTGAGGAAACCTGAGCAGGATGATGGAGGAAACTACAGCTGCAGCATCTCTGATGGAATAAAAGAACTGAACCTGAAACAGATTCACCTGAAGGTCAAAGGTCAGATAAACAAGCAGCAAACCCTGTTTTAAAGTTTTGTGCTATGAATGAATTTATTGAAATATGAAAATGAATAATTGTTCATAGTTTCTGTAACCATGGAGACCAGGCCCAGAATAACTCAGAATAATGGATAGATTATTTTTATAATGACATTTTATTAATACAATTATTTCTATAATCTGAGTTACTATGGAAACTGATTTATTTCCTATAAACCTGCTGTTAATACAAATGTAGATGTTTTCATTAATATTTCATGTTTCTTTAGTCTCCATAATTGACCTCAGTCAATATTTTAGTCTTTTATTAACAGTAAATCAGTCGGTTCTGTAATGACAGCAGCTTCATTCAAACATATTCATGTAAATATCAACAAAAATAAAATACAACATGAATTAGATAAATATTCAGCATCATTGTATGACTTCTTAAAAACACTTCATATTAAGCTTTTATGACCCTTTTCACTTTTTACAATGTTATTTATTTTATGCTGATCATTGACCAGCTGTATAAGCTGAACATTTACAGGATGAATCTCCAGGAATAATAATTCTCCATATATAATACAATAACAATAATTAGTATTAGTGTTTCTCATCTTCAGCCTCCACAGAACAAGCAGGTTTTGTAGATCTGCTATGTATAGATCAGACCCTCTGATGCATCAATAACTGTCCCATGAACCACTGATGGATCAAAGTTTCTGATTTCATGTTGATCATGAAAGAGAAACTGAACGACGACATCAAACCAGAATAATGATCCAAACTGTTTCTGCTCTTTTTGTTCTTTATTTCCTCTCAGCTGATCAGCAGGAGGTCAAGGTCACTGAAGGGTCAGATTCTGTCGTCCTGCCCTGCAGAACATCATCCCTCCTTCCTGAGGACACGTCAGTGGAGTGGACCCGGTCAGAACCAGAATTTATGATGGTCCACTCAAGCAGCAACCAAAGAAACCAGGACGGTTTTTACCGGGACCGAACAGAGATGAGCAAAGACTTCCTGAGGACCGGAGACGTCAGCCTGACCCTGAGGAAGCCCAGAGACGGAGATGATGGACGCTACGTCTGCACCGTCCACAGAGACCAGGACGTCCTGAGACAGACTGTGGTTCTGAAATATGTCAAAGGTCAGTACAGAAAATCAAGTTGGAGTTCCTGACTAAGGTCAAAGGTCAGACTGAGGTCAACCTTTCTCTGTTTTTCCACAGAACCGTTTCCTTCCTGGGCCTCAGCTCTGCTGGTTCTGCTGGTTCTGGTTCTCATCGTCTCTGCAGGCGTTTTCTATCATTTTAAAGATTATTTCCTGAAAGGTGAGTCTGAATGTTTCTGACCCAGAATGTTAGAGATCATGTGACCTGTCCTGGGGGTCAGAGGTCAACAGTTCATCTTGTCATCAGTTCAGATCTTTCTGTTCATTCATGTTCAGATTAAATGAAGCAAAGTTAGAAACATCATGAACAGAACCAGAACCAGTTGCTGTCTCTACAGTCTATTAGATTTAAAGGGACTCAGCTGGAAGCTTGTTCCAGATTTATGATGCCTAGAAGCTGAATGCTGCTTCTCCATGATTGGTTCTGGTTCTGGATGTAGAGCAGAACCAGAACCAGCAGGTTGTTCTGACTATCAGTGCTACCTCGTCACATTTTCCTACCGCAGCACGGATAGATAGCTAAGTCTATCTGTCAGTGCTACCCGTCCAAAACTCCTACCGTCATGTTTACAAACAGGAAACTACAGCAGGTTGTTAATGATAAATATATTAGATAACATTATTTGAGTGACGGGACTGAAGTGGAAGCTAAAGAGTTAGCTTAGCTTAGCATTGGAACAATTTATATACATGACGAAACCACAGGAAGATCACTTCCTTCATCTGAATATCCTACCTATTTAAAATAAAAAGCTATAGATTTATGCACTAATCCTTTTACTACAATATCATACCTGTTAAAAATATTTTAAATACAGAGGTGTTTTTTGGGAATAAAAAAGTATCAGACAGGGAAAACAGGTTTTTATTGGAATTAAATTAAAGACAAATACAAATCACCGCAACCCTTTTTTACACATTAATCTGTTGTATGACAGACTTTATTAAATGCAGTTCAGCCACAACGTGTCCATCGAACTGCACAGGAAATGATAGGATATGATCCATGTGCACTAGTATTATACGGCTATTACAGCTTCAATCCCACATAGTATCGCTACCAACATCTATTTAGCAAGGTTTAGTAATAAACAGTGTTATTAAACTAAAATATTTTAAAGTATAGGGGCAAAAAGCCACAAAACAAAGTATTTTGTCCTGATTAACCTCCAAATAATAACTTGTTTACAGTAACGACATTACAGATACAAAACTAAAGACATTTAAAACTATATTTACAAGCTGCTGTCATATAAACTAAAATCATGAAGTAATACAGCAGCTTAATGAAAGCCAGATATAAAATAAGTTAAATAAAGCTTAACAATCGTAATCTGCCATGAAATAAAACACATGAAACGAAACTTCCACAGGCAGGACATATTTATAAGAGATCTGCTGAGTAAGCAGTTTGTGACGTAGCATCGATGTGTATTTCCACAAGGTAGGACGGATTTACAGGTAGCACAGATCTTCAGAACAGCTGCAGATCTTTAATCCGTTCAGTGATTTATAAACTACCAGCAGGATTTAAGTCTGTTCCTCTCAGTGAAGGACTGGAGCAGTGGGCGATTTGGTGTTTGGATGTTTTATTAGTTACTAATAAAGTTAAAGTAAAAGAGAGCAACTCAACATAATTCACCATTTTAAAGTAAAACTCGGCCTCTTCTGGGCAAAATGAGCAAACAGAAAATGTCTAAAGTAATAAAATACAAACTTTATTCTTAATAAACACAAATAGATTATAAATTTCCAGTCTGATGGAAACTCTCTCATAAATACACATAAACTACCTACAAACACAACTTCTGCAGATCTGCACTGATTCCTGAACATCTGAACAAAACATTGCTTTCAACATGTCTGCGCCCCCTAGTGGTGAAGCTACAAACTACAGTTCAGTTCTGCCTTCAGAACAGTTGCCTTGGTGATTTAACTCTGCTGTAGGATTTTTCTCTCTGATTTGAACGTCTCAGTTACAAGGAAACATTTCCACCAGAAAAACCTTCATGGTCTCTGAGCTGATGGGTCCATCGAGGTCCAGGAAGAACTCAGACGATATCAGCTGATCATCACATACTCTGCTCCACTGTCTCTCTCTCTCCCATCTTGTCCTCTGTTGTCTCTCAGCTCCACTGGTGAAGGTGGATTCAGGGGTGAAGTTTGTCCTGCTGCCCTGCAGAACCAAAGTCTGCCTGCCTGGAGGCGCTAGAGTGGAGTGGAGGGACGGAGAGAACAGGACGGTCCATGTGTATCGGAACGGTTCTGATGATCCTGAGGAACAGAACCTGACCTACAGCAACAGAACCAGGATGAATGACGACCCACTGAAGACTAAAGACCTCAGTCTGACTCTGGAAAGTCCCTCAGTTACAGACAGCGGGATCTACACCTGCAGAGTCGGGAACCGAGTCATCCTGATGATGAAACGGGTTCATCTCCAGGTCAAAGGTCAGTGGTATAAATGTTGGAGTTTTTCCTATCAGATGATTGGTGGTGATCAATAGTGATGATTGGCTGATTAGAAGGTCAAAGGTCAGTGTGATGTAATGAGTGATGAAGATGAGGAACCAGACCTGGAGGTTGAGGACAGTCAGGGACCAGAGCCCTGAAGAAGCAACTGAAGGCTTTGACTAGGACAGTGCTCCCTGCTGGAGACACTCGTTAGAGTTCAGAACCACCAGACGGGTCAGATCCATCAGAACTGAAGTCCCTGCAGCCTGGAAGCAGCAAACATGTTGTGAATGAGGATGGATGTGGCTATTGATGGATATTTTGTATTTAATATGCTCACATGGCCGATGAGGCTGGAGAGCAAAGAGGTTGTAAAGAAAAGGTGGAAGAGGTTTGGACAGATGGTATTTGGTTTACCTCAGAGGATCCAGAGTCTTGGTCTGTTGCCCTCTAGCAGGAATCTCTGCTCCTCCTGGACGACATCAGGAGCTGATTTTGGTCTGACTGAACACTTCAATGTCAACATGTGGAAAAGTTTTCCAAAAACCAACAAATCAGCAGAAGATCAGAGATTATCTTGGCAGATTCATCCTGAACATTTATTGAAAAGAATTATAATCCCACCAGTACAATATTTGGGAACCAAAACATTAAAAATGGCATAGAAATTTTTAGAGAAGGTTAATTGAAATCAACTATGGAACATGTAAAGTAAATAAAATGAAGTCAGCTCCATTCTCAAGGTCAGAAGTGATGTACAAGGTAACATTAGCTAAACTCAGCTGTGTTTCACAATCAGTCACTGGGAAACTAAAGGTTTTTATGTTTCAATAGAAAGTGGCATTAAGGAGTTGGAGAGACTTTTAATGTCCACTTTGCATAACAATGTTTCACCTACATTTTCTCACATTGGCAACCAAATAACTGTTACCTGAACCTGAACTTATCTGAACCTGAACTCAAAACCCTCTTTGCTCAAAGCATCATGTACTGATGTCACTTTTTCCCTGTTAATGGATCTTTGCAGACTGTGTGCAGTGTCCCATCGTGCATCTTCAGTTTTTCCCACTGTCTTAGGATTTTGAGCACAAAGCAACTCAACTCTCGCTGGTCTTGATGGTCGTCTCCCTCAAATGATGAGTGGATGACTTGAGATTGAACAGCATCATTTCTCTGGCTGTCATGAAGCTCTTAAAGTGAAAAACCAGGCAGATGGTTTTCACCTGACTGGACCAACTGGACCAGCATGAAACCATGAATATCTGCTTTGGACCTTCATCCATATGACCTGCTAATACTGCAGATACTTCAGTCTGATAGGGACTCAGTTTTCAGTTCACTCAGTCTGGCTGCATGCTGAATGTTTTGGTGGTTGACAAAATATACACAATATAAATTGTTTTAAAATTATTAGACATTGTTTGACACTTCACTGTGCAGAGATATTTTTAAATTCACTGATCCTCTCACATTTTACCTACAGAGCTACTGTCTGGTCTCAGACTAATCAAACTATACTCAAACCACTAGCAAGTCTGTATAATCAGGCCTGAAAGGTTTTATATCAAAAGCTGATTAGATTCCATCACTGTCACATTTTGGTTAAATTTGGCATTTTGGATTTTACAAATTTTCTAAATTATAATGTTTTAAAATTGATTTTTAAGTGTTTAAATGGACTTGCACCAACACTACTAAGCGATTGTATACAGAGACTGCAGGGCAACAGGAGATCTACCAGAGCACCTTTGGATGGAAATTGTAAAGTTCCCTTTCGAAGAACCACCTTTCTGTGAGAGGATCTACAACTTCGAACTCACTTCCTGTTTATTTAAAGTCTGTAACCAGTTTTAGAACGTTCAAAAGTCAAACAAAACTCTGGTTATGTCAAAAACAGACCTGTACTCATTTTTGATGTTTTACATTTCGCTGATTGTATATATTATGTTGTGCTATTTTAACTGATTATCATTTCAATTTTTAGAGTTACTTTTTAAAAGCCCATCTAGGGACAAGTGCTGCGAATTAGCTGTTGCTGTTGCTCCATGATGCAAACATGGGACTACTGTTTTATTCAGTTTGTCTATGTCAATGTGTGTCCGTCCCTATCAAATAAACTAAAAAAAAAAAAAGAAGAAGACGACAGTCTGGACTACAGACTATAATCTTTGTAGACTGATGTTGGAATGACTTTAATTGGTTTTCTCTAAATATTGAATTATGTTTCCTTCAAAGAAGTTTATGAAGATTAACCAAACTGGGCACTTTATTAGTCCAGTCACTTGTTAGAATATTGTAAATTGTTTTTGTTTTTCTTTCTTCAGATATTGTTGGTCAGTATCAGCCTGACCTTAAAGCATCTCTGAAGAAGAAGTTCCAGAGTCTCTCTGAAGGCGTCGCTGAACCTGGAAATCAAACGTTTCTGAACCAGATCTACACAGAGCTCCACATCACAGAGGGGTTAACTAGAGAGGTCAACCAGGAACATGAGGTCAGACGGATTGAAACAGCATCCAGGAAACAAGAAACAATCAGGAGAGAAGACATCTTTAAAGCCCCACCTGGGAGTGATCAACCAATCAGAACAGTGATGACCATGGGAGTGGCTGGCATTGGGAAAACACTGTTAACACAGAAGTTCACTCTGGACTGGGCTGAAGGCAGAACCAACCAGAACATCCAGTTTATATTTCCATTCACTTTCAGAGAGCTGAATGTACTGAAAGAAGAAACCAGTTTGGTGGAACTGATTCATCACTTCTTTCCTGAAACCAAAGGAATCAGCAGCTTTAAAAAGTTTCAGGTTCTGTTCATCTTTGATGGTCTGGATGAAAGTCGACTTCCTCTGGACTTTCACAAGACTAAAATATTAATTGAACCTGAAAAGTCCACCTCACTGGATGTTCTGCTGACAAACCTCATCAGGGGGAACCTGCTTCCCTCTGCTCTCCTCTGGATAACCACACGACCTGCAGCAGCCAATCAGATCCCTGCTGAGTGCGTTGGCATGGTAACAGAGGTCAGAGGGTTCACTGACCCCCAGAAGGAGGAGTACTTCAGGAAGAGATTCAGAGGTGATGAAGAGAAGGCCAGCAGGATCATCTCCCACATCCAGAAATCAAAAAGTCTCCACATCATGTGTCACATCCCAGTTTTCTGCTGGATCACTGCTAAAGTTCTGGAGGATGTGATGGAGACCAGAGAGGGAGGAGAGCTGCCCAAGACCCTGACTGAGATGTACATAGAGTTCCTGCTGGTTCAGCTCAAAATCAAGGAGGAAAAGTTTGATGGACGACGAAAGACAAAAAGTATCTGGAGTCCAGAGAACAGGAAGCTGATTGAGTCTCTAGGAAGACTGGCTCTAGATCAGCTGCTGGAGGGAAACCTGGTCTTCTATGACAAAGATCTTGATAAATGTGGCATC